GAAAGCACGATGCATATTTTCCATTTGCCCGAATGTGATACATAAATGGTGTATACCCCCATCTGTTTGATTTGAAAGCATGAAAGCATGATGGGTTTGTGTGCATATTTTCCATTTGCCCGAATTACATAAATGGTGTATACCCCCATCGGTTTGAAAGCATGATGGGTTTGCCCGAATTACAGATGTTGTCGAGTAGGCAATCTCTGTAAAGACCAGAGTGCACACCTATTGTTTCAAGTGTGTAAAAGTAAGCTGGAATCCATTTTCAAACATGAATTTGTAGGACCAGCATCTATTGTTCAACAGTAAGCTGGAATCCAGATTCAAGCATGCAACCACTTAATTTATCCATGTTTCTGATGTTAAACCCCAAAAGTGCAACAAAAAGGAAAAAAGGAAAGTGATTTCCCATTCTGGAAGAAAAGAAAGCGCAATAAAACGAAGGCAACAAGCAAAACTGGGCAACAGCCGGAGTGGAGCTGCTCATTGGCCACGTGGAAGACAATTCTCGGAGTACAAATGATGAGAAACAAAACAAAGTACAGATGCAAATCGAGAAAAATAAAAAAGAATTTAGTTTCTTAGTGAGGTCAATGAAAAATAATTAGTTAAAACGTCAAAAAGTTCCTGCTCATGGAGAAATCAGTGTCTTTCGGATTCTGTTTGAACGCCTCACAGGAGTCACTGTACCTTCAATACCACCTCCCTGCAGTGCCCAATAGAAGCAAACAAATAGAAAAAGGTTAATACTAACAAGCACAAAAGAATTACATATCAATCATCTGAATATTATCAAGTGCAAATTAATGATCCCCAATAGCAAATTGACTTGGTGTATGTGCAAGAGAGAGAGAGAGAGAGAGAGAGAGAGAGTTGCCTGTTTACTGGATAGCTTCTCATATGTGGTGAAGCTTCCATAGGAAGGAGAACCTGCAGAATACTCTGAAGAAAGAGTAGCAGCCTCCCTGTTAAGATGGCTTCCTGATTTGCTCATACTCTTCTCTAGTTTCTCCGCTGCTTTTCTAGTGGATTGCTTGCTATAACATAGGCTCCTAGCTGAACTGCTGCTGGCCTCCATTGGACCAGACTCCCCCAACATATTAACCTCAAAAGAATTCCTGAAAGTAGGGTCACTTTCACTACTTGCGGTCATGGAATCACACTTATTCATCTTCTTCTCTAACGGGTATGTCACCTTTGGTGCCTCTTCATTTGCTGGGGTTTTCTTTGAGTTGGACTTCAAAGCAGCAACTCCAACCAGGAGCATCAGAGCACCCATAAATGACCCGATAGCAGTTTGAGTTGAAAACTTTTCTTTCAAATCCCACTTCATAGAACCCACTGGTCCTGCAATGATTTTCTCTTCAGGAAATTCTTCAGTGGATTCATCAGCCTTCTCAATCTGTTCATTAGTGGTTTCTAGTTGGGTTAGTGTATCAGCTTGTGGAGCATCTTCATTGGTTGTTTCTGAAACAGAGTCTTCTGTTCCAGTATTCATTCCACGTTCATTTACTGGTTGTGGAGCATCTTCAAAGGTTGTTTCTGTATCAGAGTCTTCTGTTCCAGTAATCAACCAAGCATTCATTCCACCGTCATTCACTGGTATAGCAGGTTCCTCAGGTGTGTGGTCAATCTGTTGGGACATCTCCAAGTCAATCACAACTGTAGACTGTGAAGCTTCTCCTTTGTCAATCTCAGCACATTCCTCAACATCCAGTTTACCCTTGTCTCCCTCAACCTTTGCTTTGAAATCTATGTCATGGGTTTGGTCTGATAAGGGTTCGATTTCCCTGATACTTTCCTCTAGTTCTATAAATTGTGACAAGAGATCATCTTCTTCTCCTTCCCTTTGGGTAGCTTCTCCCCCTTCAATCACTGCTATTTCTCCGTGATCTAGGATACTTTTTTCTTCTTCAAATTTCCTGGGGAAAACAGCTATATATGCTTTAAAATCTATGTTACTGGTAGCATCTATCACGAGTCCAGAAGCCCTGGTATCCTCATATGGGTCACTGAAATTGCCTATGAAATGACATTTTTCTTCTTCCATTTGGGTAGACAATATTGTATGCACATAAGTGGAGCAAATATCAGACCACTTCCTAAATTTCACAGCCATCAATTCAAGTGTAGGGCTAAAAGACTCTGAAATCTTGGCCATGGACACAGTAACATACTCAGGGACATTAGTTTCCAGTAAGTTTCCAAAGACAGACACAAGAGTTGGAGGATTTGCAAAATAAAGAGAGGCACAAGTAAAAATCAGCAATAAAAGAGACAGAGACCCCAGTTTTTTAAACAAGTTTGAAGAAGAAGACCTTTTCATCGCTTTACTATTGGCCTTCCTGGGTTCTGGTTTCTCCATTAACTGCCCTTCAGATTTAGCAGAATCATCATCTTCTTCTGGTGTCCTGAATGGTTCAGAACCAGATTGAGAGGAACCATGATCTTCTGCTGGTTTGGTTTCACGTGGAGCAAAATCCTCATCAGAAGAAGAGCTCTTCTCAGGTGAAGAGAAAGTCTCCTCATTTTGCTGATGCTCGCTATCCAAGCAACTCTCAGAGGAGAAGCTACTATCAAGCCTCACTCCCTCTCCTTTCTCTGATCGAAGATAAATCTCAAGCCTAGGATTGGGCCTGTAATGGAGGAACTGGGGCCTTGGAGAGATATAATTGGTTTCTGGATCATAAGGTGGGAAAGGTGAATCATTCTCAGAAGTTGGATTTCTTAGTTTGTTGAATCTCGTGTCATGGTTTTGGCTATCAGGTGGTCTAGAGCCTTTACCCAATTCAGAACTCCATTTTTTAGCATTGTCCTGATGGTTTTCTGGCATTTTTTCAGAGAACTGCAGATAATTTGCCACCGCATATTCCTGGACCTTGTTTTCTGATACTTTATCTGCTAAATCTGGAGGGTTTAGAGAGAGGAAGTGGGCCTCTCCAGCTGAAACTGGAGTTGCAACATTGGCAGGGATTGGAGAAGATTCAAGGCCTTCATTTCTTTCAGTCAAGACTCGCTTTCTTGGTGATGGGGCAGCAACCTTTGATGCTGCAGAAATGGTGGATGCCATGAAATTCTTTGCACCCTTTGAGATAACAGTTGGAGAACGAGCTCTGATGGCTTTCCCAGAAGGCTGGTTTATCGCTTCCTTATCACTGTTTTCCTTCGAATCAAAGGAAACCCTAGGAGATATGTTTCCATCTCTAATGAATGAGCTTCTATGTGAAAAATCTACATCCAATAAAATAAATTACGGGATTAAAACCACCATATCAAGAGGCAAAAGTTGCAGAACAAAAGATAGAGAAAAGAAAAAGGTGGCTTATCGTTAGTATTATGCACCCAATTAAGAACACCCAGGTTTCAAGATACAAGCTCAATAATCCGGAAGTTAGAGAGAGAGAGAGAGAGAGAGAGAGAGAGGAGGTAAGAAA